GAAGCAATCGCACTCTTAAAGATATGATGAGGAGTATGATGAGTAGATCAAATTTGCCTAAGTTTTTATTGGGTGAAGCAATTAAGATTGCACTGTACATTTTAAATAGGGTTCCTAGTAAATCTATGCCAAAGACTCCATTTGAACTCTGGACAAGAAGAAAGCCCAGCATGGGACACTTTCGAGTTTGGGGTTGCCCAATTGAAGTGAGGATTTATAATCCCATTGAGAAGAAATTGGATCCTAGGGCCATTCGAGCCTATTTCATTGGTTATCCTAAGCATTCTAAAGGATATAGGTTTTATTGCTCTTCTAGGGGTACTAGGGTGGTTGAATCTATGACTGCTAAGTTCTTGGAATTTGATGTAGCTGAGGGTGGCAGTACTCAACCCTTGGAGAATTGTGAAGCAGGCTCATCAAGCATTGTTCCCCTATTTGTTGGGCATGATGGTATGTTTTCAGAACCTGTTTTAGTGGAGAATCAACAGGTTCCAAAGATTCTTACATAACATGAGACTGTGAAGAATGAAGTTGATGTTCAAGAATCTATTGTAGATCCCACTGTAGAGGAATTACCTGTGACAGATAATATTGCTGATGAACCAGTTATTGAGATTCCTCTTAGGAAATCACCAGAGAAAGACGTTCTACTATTTTTTATGATTGTTATGTCTATCTTGGTGAGGTAGAATATGACATTGGTCAAGTTGTCGATCCAACAAGCTATAATGAAGCTATCTCAGATCAGCAATCTGATAAATGGTTTGTTGCAATGATAGAAGAATGAAGTCAATGGCAGACAATGAAGTATGGGATCTTGTGGAGTTGTCGGATGGTTTTAAGCCCATAGGTTGTAAATGGGTTTATAAGACAAAGAGAGACTCCAAGAGAAGAATTGATAGGTTCAAGGCAAGATTGGTTGCTAAGGGTTTCACTCAAAGAAAGGGTATCAATTTCAATGAGACATTCTCTCATGTGTCCACTAAAGATTCAGTTAGAATTATAATGGCCTTGGTAGCTCATTTTGATTTGGAGCTACATCAACTGGATGTCAAAACGGCCTTTCTGAATGGAAATCTTTATGAGGAAGTTTACATGATGCAGCCAGATGGTTTTGTAGCTAAAGATAAGCAACACATGGTATGCAAGTTGAAGAAATCAATCTATGGTTTAAAACAGGCTTCTAGGCAGTGGTATCTCAAGTTTGATGAAGTTATGACTTCATATGGTTTCACTAAGAATAAGTTTGATCAATGTTGTATATGAAGATTAGTGGGAGTAAGTTTGTATTTCTAGTTCTTTATGTCGATGACATCTTACTAGCCCGTAATGATGTTGATCTACTGCATGAGACAAAACAGATCTTGTCTAAAGCTTTTGACATGAAAGATCTTGGAGATGCTTCTTTTGTTCTTGGTATTGAGATTTTCCGTAACAGAACTTATGGGTTGCTTAGGTTATCTCAAAAGGCTTACATTGAGCATGTGTTAAAGAGATTTAACATGCAAAATTGCAAGCCTGGAGATCTACCTATGGTGAAAAGAGACAAGTTCAACATCAAGCAACGTCCTCAAAGTGATTTGGAAAGGGCATCTATACAAAATATTCCTTAGGCTAGTGCCATTGGGAGCTTGATGTATGTATGAGACCAGACATAGCTTTTGCTGTAAATGTCCTTGGTCGTTATCTTTTGAATCCAGGTTCTGATCATTGGGTTGCGGCCAAGAAAGTTATGAGATGCTTGAAAAGGACGAAAGACTTCATGCTTGTATACAAAAATGTTGAAAATCTTGAAGTAGTTGGATATTCCGATTCAAATTTTGGTGGTTGTCCGGATGACTTAAAGTCTACTTTAGGATACGTTTTCTTGCTCGCAAGTGGGGCCATATCGTGGAAGAGTGTTAAGCAGACTTTGATAGCCTCTTCAACCATGTATGCAGAATTCATTGCATGATATGGGGCAGCTACTCGGGCTATATGGTTGAAGAATTACATTACTGATCTAGGTGTGGTTGATTCCATCTCTAAGCCACTGACGATCTAATGTGACAATAATGCAGCTGTGTTCTTTTAAAGAAAAATAAAATCAGTAGCAAGTCAAAGCATATGGAGATCAAGTATCTTACAGTCAAGGACCTGGTTAAAAAGGGAGACATTGTTGTACAGTACATTAGTACTGATAGTATGTTGGCTGACCCACTAACCAAAGGACTTAGACCAATTTCTTTTAAAGGTCATGTAGAAAATATGGGTATTTTACAATCTTTTGATACGATGGGTTAGTGGGAGTTATTGATGTATGATTGTTGATTTTATGCTATACTATTTCTGATGAGTTAGCATATTTTTTTTGTCATGATCGTTGTTTTGATATAATTGTTTGTGTGTGTGTGTGTGTGTGTGTGTGTGTGTGTGTGTCTATATATATATAAATTGTTAATATACAACATTGTGTCTCAAGAATAAGGTTTCTCTTGAGAATAACAGTTGTAAGGTTATGTTTCATATATGGAAATTGCAATATTATTGACTGAAACATATTGGTTTCGTTGGAAGTTGTATAGTTTCGTTGGAAGCTATGAGACGTCTCTTGCTTTTCTTTAGAGCATAAAGATTAAAGAGAGGTCTTAATCAGGACTGACAGGGTAATAGCACATGTTTTGATCACTTGTTGGGGTGCTAACCTTGCCACACTGCCAGATTACTTATCCATGTGATTTGATTATTAGTAATTGTAATCATGGATTGATCTTATGTCATTCTAAGATGTAAAGATTGCCTTGGTTCATTATTGATAATCATATTGACTGGATTGTTGGTTGAAGTGTTATCTCTGGACTATGTTGTTTTCTCAAAATAGTAGCCACTTTAAAGTTAAAAAGTTATATTTATCTGGGAGTCAAAATTGTTTCCTTTTCTTAAAATTAAAATAAAATAATTAATGTTGCCTAAGTGGGAGAATGTTAGAAAATTTTCCTAATTGTGGGCTAACATTAATTATATGTTAGTTTTGATTAAAACTGGGTAAATTAATAGTCCACTAATATACTAATGGGTTTAATGTGATCATATTAAAGTTTAGCCCATTACACTTCATTTGATTAATCTGGACTGACAACAAAGTGTGGGCCTTAGGGTTTATTGGCCTTTAATGGGAGGGCCTAATAAACTATTATTAAATTGGCTAAGTCCCCCTTTCAAATGTTATAAGATAATTGAAACCCATTTTGGAAGTTATCATCAGTTTGCGTTATTGGAAAGGAAGACTTACGCTCTCTGCCATTTGAGAAAAAACTATCGCTTCTCTTCTAAGAAATCCAAAGATCAAGAATCATGGCACAAACAGGTTTATCTATAACCCTTTACTATTAATTCAGTATTCTATAATTTAAGTATTGATCTTTTTGGGATGTTGTTTTTAATTTAGTTCTATTCACATTGAGATTAGAGTGAATTAGAATTCATGTTTTAATTATTATAACATCGTTGAAATCACAAACTCAAACATTTTTCAACATTTCTACTCACAAATTAACATAACCACCATACATATCATCCAATCCAAACTTATATACACAAATTAACATCAAGGCTAGAACAAAAACTCATATATACATAATACAATAACCCACCAAATTATTTTAAATTCTAAATAGCAAACCTCTTGGGTTGGGGTTTCTAATGGACTAGCATTTCAAGAAAAGATCAAAGTAACATTTCGGTTTTCAAAGATAACCTTGGATTTAGTTAAGTTTTGTGAGAGATTGCTAATGAGAGTTAACATTTGGATGAAGAGAAGAGGAGCGTTAGGCAAAGAGAGAATAGGAGCGTTAGGCCAAGAGAGAAGAGAAGTAACTACCTTTGAATGGTCGAGTGGTTCGATATGGACTCTTAATGTATTACTTAAGAAGTCTTGAGTTTGAGTCTCTCTTCGGTTGCTAATAGGGGTAGTCATTGGAACTCTTATCCAGCTAGTAGTTTCAGGGTCTCAGGTTAATTGAGGTGCGCGTAAGTTGGTTTGGACACTTCTGGTCATTAAAAAAAAAAAAAAGAGAGAGAGAGAAGAGAAGAGAAGTATAAAACGGTAATTTTGTTTCAATGGGGGTAAAAAGAAATATGGGCTGAGGTTATTTTATGAAATACTTTCTATTTAAACAATTATTCAAATTAGGGCTGATTAATATAATTTCTGATAAACATTATTAATTGTATTTGCATGAAAAGAATGGAAAGGCAAGTTGACATCATAATTTATACCATAAGATAAGAAAATAGAGAGCCTACAATTTATACACTTCCTTGAAGACAAAAGTTACAAGTCAACTGGTATCTCCAACAAACCAACCGAATCTAGTGCTTAAAAGTTAAAACTAACATCTTATCAACCAATAAATAATAATCATGTGTTCTATATATATGCTTCTTTTTATTTTTCTCGTTTTAAAGGATTTGTGTATTAGTTTCATTTTTAAAAAAATATATATATCTTATAATATAGGGGTTAAGAGACCAACAAAAAAAAGGCAATCCATCTTATCAACTGATTGTACATAAATAGAAAGGTTAAAAAGGTCCCATATTTTTCTCATTTAAACACAAACAAAACCCATTTATCTCTTCTCTTCTCTCCTCTTCTCTTTTTTACCAATTAATTACACACTGTTTTTTCTGTTTTTCCAAAACTATAACCTGGAATCCGTCAACCCCTTGTCTTACGCTAACCTTTTTTTTTTCACTACAATTTTAATTTTCTTTAAGAGAAAATGAAAAAAACTCACACACACTCTCTCTAAAAACACGAACGCAGAAGCACGCACAAAACATCCTAAAAAAAACCACCTTAACAACTTGGTACTAACTGTCTCTCCCTCCAAAACCGCGTTTTATCCTCAACACCACCTTTCTTCTATCCAACCCAAATCTCCTAAACCGGCTTTTCTGGTTTTTTTTTTTTTTTTTTTATTCTTATTAGAAAACTGGTGGTGGGGTTTTTTTTTTTTTTTTTTTTTTTTCTTTTTTACTTTGGTCGTCGTCGTCGTCTTCGTTGAGGAGGAGGATTGATAAATCAGAGCCGTACACGTGGCATAATGGGGGCGGAGGTGATTGAGATGTGGGGTACGTGGGAAGAATTACTATTAGGTGGAGCTGTTCTCCGGCACGGTACCCGAGACTGGAACCTTGTTGCTGCGGAGCTCCGAGCCCGAACCGTTTGTCCGTACACTTTCACTCCTGAGGTTAATATTAATCAAAATAATAGCCACTCCAATAATCCTATTTTTTTTTTTAATTATTATTATTGCTACGAATTAATGTTGTGTTTAAATGTAATTTCGTTTTAATGGTTTGTTTATTCTTCTGATTTTATTTTAATTTGCTATAAAATAAAATTTTTGGAGTTGAGTTTTGTTCAAGATGTTGTCGTTTTTGTGTTTCTCAATAATTGGTTGGTTTGGTTTCTTTGTGTTTTTGTTTTATTTACTTTTACCCTTATTTTGTCACTTTATTTTCATTTTTTACCAGCTAGGCCCCACTTTCCAGAGGTCAAAATTTGCCCTCCATTGAAGGTTAAGGAATAAGAATACTAATTATCAACGAATTATGATTATTCTTTTGTAGTAATTTTAATAAAAAATAGACAGAAGGAATCAATGAAAGGCATAAATGGGTATATTTATTAGAGATATATTCTAGTTAAGAAATATTCTTCTGGCTATTGTGTTTGATGGTATTTACCACTTCTATAAAGAATAAAAGATAATCTTGTTACTATTACATATTTTAATGCGTAGCAAACACGTTCTGACTTTGACTTAATATGTTTTTGTTTATGCATGACATGATGTTGATATCAAGTGTTTGGTTGCTTGCTTTCATTTGGTGGGAAAGATTCGTCATATACAGTTTATGGTCTTTTGATTAAGTCTCAAATGGCTTCTCTCTAAAGTCAAGACTTTGTAATATCTTGGTACATTACACTGAGTTTGATGGTTGATAATTTCATGGGTTGCCTTTTAGTGCCTTGTGAAGTGAGTCGAGGTTTTTCTTTTGGAAAAGTCGTCCTTGGTGAATCAACGCCACTTGAACATTGCAAGACTTTAGAATAAAGAATTGTAGGTTTGAAGTTTACCTAGCTGGTGTATTATTGGCCAGCATGAAGATAGTGATATCTTCATATTGTTGAAAGTGATGGACATTAGTTGTGGGTTAGTTGAGATGTCATTATCTTATAAAATTGTTCAAGAAAGTGTTTCAGTTAGTTAAATTAATGCGTTGCTGTGATAGAGAAATAATTGCTTAATACTTTCAATCTGTGCTTGAAACTCTGGTAGTATACCATGTTCAGCCACTGAACTCTGAAGTGATGAAACTAGAAGTATTACCTATGTCATTTCTTGATGTTTTGAATCTAAGGAGAGTTTATTAGTGAATTCCTGAAAATCAACCAAGTTTTTATCAGTCTCAACCGGCTTTACATAATATCTCATGGACTTAGAGATTTGTGTTGTTGTTCTAACTTAACAAACTGATTTGAACACCTGCGTAAATATTAATTTAAAAAAGAAGAAAAAAAAAAAAAACACACGGAAAAAACAAGAGCAGGTAAGGGATACACCAACTTTCAATTGGTTTCTTCATTCTAAATCTCTTCTCCATAATATTAGCAATTTACGGCATCTGTTTGGCCTGATGATGTTTTAAGATTGCCTAAATCATTTTGTGCTTGGTTTTCTGGAAAACTGGACCACCCATTTTTAGTAACTGACACTGCTTAATCAAATCAGTTAAATATTTGGAATAGTACAGTTCCTTGATTAATATTTCGAGTTTCCAACTGTCATGCTAACCATATCTACAAAGCTGAATAGCTGATCAATTATTCGCTTGAGGAATGCCTACAATGTCCAATTATAATTTGTGTGGATCAATCCCACTAAATTTTCAGATCTAATTCGTTTTTAGGATGCTAAGTTGATGGTGATATTTGACAAGTTTCTCCAGAAGAACAAATATGGCTCTTAACATTCACTCTAATGGATGTAATATCCTGATTGCAGGTGTGTAAAGCTAGGTATGAGGACTTGCAACAGCGTTTTTCAGGACGCAAGTATGTAAATTGTTGTTATCGATTGATAATGCATAGGCTTTGAACACAGTTCAATAACTTAATCAATGGGGCTTAGTGTCCAGTGGATTAATTTTAAAAGATATATGCTTTCACCATTTTCTGCTTTGAATTAAAATGCTGGGAGTTAAATCAACTTCATTGAATGCTAGAATGTTTCATTAGTTGCTTTCTGAAATATGATGGATGGCCTTTTACTCAAAATAATATGTTTTGTTTCCTCCTTAGAGCTTGGTTTGAAGAACTACGGAAGCAACGGATGGCAGAGCTGAGGCGAGCTCTAGCACTATCTGAAAATTCAATTGGGTCAGTAATTTAACCTTTTTCCCTTTCAAGCTGTATTGATCAGGCACTTCCATGTAGTTTTGTTCAATTTGTTTCAAGAGTGGACCATTTTTCCCATTCAAGCTGTATGGATCAGGCACTTCCATTTAGTTTTTTTCAATTTGTTTCAAGAGTGGACCATTCTCTGTTCTCCTCTGTAAGAAAAAAATTTAGTGTTCCTACTACACTAATTTTGACCCTTCAAGCAGTTTTACAGGTCTAGGGAATGAATATTATGCTAATGATTAGCCTCTTATGTTATTTGGGAAATGGCAGATTGTGACTGGTATTAGATTGGCGTGAATGGAATGATATATGTAAATCTGATTCTAAATTCTGACATAACATGCTTCCAAGACCTTGACCTCTTCAAATTGGCAGTCCTAAGCTCTTATAATCTTATTGTTTCTTTTTAATTGCCACTATCTGTTTCAGAAATTTGATTCTGGTTTTCATTTGTTTAACTGCTGTCTATGGTGTCCCACAGTTTATGTTCATGTATTTTGGTCGACTGTTTACTCATTTAGTCTGTTTCAGGTCTCTGGAGTCAAAACTTGAAACACTCAAGGCTGAAAGAGGAAATGACTGTCACGTCGGTTATTTCTCAAGCCAGACAGAATCACCTGTGCCATTCCAGAAGTCTGAGGCAGTTGTATCATCCAGCAAAGAGACATCTAAGGATGGACTATCTGCTGGTAGTTTCACGAGGGAAATCCGGACAAACTGGTCACCTGAATCTCAGATTCCAGCCGCAGCACCAGCTGAAGAGATGGATGCTAAGCCAGAGGTTTCACAGTCTTCGGAGCAAGAGAAAGTTTCAAGCATTGAGAAGCTAACAGACATTGTTTGTGGAGGACAAATTGGAACTTTGAGGAGGAGGAGAGGGAAGAGAAAGAGGAAGTTCTGTAATAGGGATATCAAGGAAGGGAGTGTTGGAGAAAGTGACGTTTGGGGTGTAACTGATACTTTGACTGCCTCTCGGTGTAAAGAAAATTCAACCAGCGAATCCGGTCATATTTCCAGATCTTGTGGTGTTGATGATCAAAGTGGAAGCCCAAGAAAGGATAGAATTGAGGATCTCAGGAGTACTTTTGAATCTGTTGCACAGAATGAAGGTGCCTCTGTCTTCCGTCATCGTCTTGATAGCCAGGTATAGGATAATATATATATATATATGAAATGAACTTATGTTTTGGCCTCATCACTTCCAAGTTTGAGGTTTAGGTCAATTAGACTTGCTAGTATTAAGTTTACGGTTTATGTATTATAGCGTCTAGAAAGTAGTTTGTGACTCTTATGTTGCAAAAGAAGCCTATGTATTGATATATGGAATCAGCTCAATTTTGTTTCTTTAATTCTCTTTAACAGAAGAGAGGACGATACAAGAAAATGATCTTGCGGCACATGGATTTTGACACAATAAGATCAAGAATTTCCAGTCACTCCATCACATCAGTCAAGGAACTCTTTCGGGATCTGCTGCTACTCACCAACAATGCCGTGGTCTTTTATTCTAAGAACACTCGTGAGTACAAATCTGCATTGCAGCTTAGAGCCTTTGTGATTAAAACTTTGCGAGAACACTTCAAGGACGACGGTAACAAGCCTACAACTTCCACTCCATCTTTAAGCTCACCTATGAGTAAACCTCCGGCGAAACCTCGAAGTGCTCGTCCTAGTAATCGCAAACAATCACAAAAAGTTGCCAACGCTGGAAATGTTATCGATAAGCCTCCTAATCGAGGTAAACGATCAAGTAATACTGAGTCCCCTCCTTCAACGGAATCATTAGCAGTGATTAAGAAACGGGCAAATGCTAGAGCTGAAACTGCAGCGAGGGGAAGGAGGAGAAATCGGGCTAGGTGATAATTGTTGTATATTGTTTTTGTAACATGGGTGGGTTGTTTAGAAGAGTCCTCAGTTGTACAAAATTGTTCCTTGGTCTGGTAAATCACTTGTAAAATTGCTTGTAAACAACTCCAATCAATTAGAGAAGAAATTTTTGTTTATCCTCGTATCAGCTGCTAGCCTGCAATGCAATGTTTTCTTAAGGGAACTTATTTTTTATCAACATCTCCCACTACCAAATGCACCTATGTATATATATTTTTTTTTTAAATTACCATAAGTCTCTACAGGTTTGAAATCTTGCAGTAACACCTCAAATTACACTGTTGACATCGACAACCCAAGCTAAATAGGGCATATTTCTGACGTTGATAACACATCGCATCACCACGGGAACTCTCCTCTCAGCCTCCTAACCAAAGCTCATCTCACCCCACTCTTGTTCGCCTCGCCAATCATCAACAACAACCAGCTATTGCCACCAATTTATTTTTGCGATTTTCGGTCGTTCCACTCAATGGAAATCACCTCGTCGCCACCATTTTGGTCACCGGCCCTTCCTCTTCAAAAACCTCAACATCCCAACCTTCAATTGTTTGCCAATCGTCATCCTAATTTCTAAGGTTTTCAATTAACAGTAAAAGTTCTAACGCAACCTGATGAAGGCCCTGGGTCATTTCTTTTCCCCAATTTTAAACTTAATTAGGTTTTTCACAATTTCAAATTTGAAACTTACATTTTCTTCTTTAAATTCATCTCGTTATGTGATTACTTTCTTTATAACTTTAGTAATATATTTTTACAAACAAACAAATATTTGAATGAAAAAATATGTTCTAATGATTTAGAAAATTTAGAGTTAAGATTTATGTAAGAATTAGAGATTAAAAATTAAAACAAAAATATAAAATAGAGTTTGAGTGTATTTAGAAATTATCTTTGTTTGTTTCCCCATTCTCAACTCCATCTTATCCAAAATACATATTTGTTTCAATGTTCTCAAAATCCAATCATATTTTATTCAACTCAAAATATTTAGATTTATTCAACCCCTTAGGTTTGTTAATTTAACTAAACACCCCCAACAATAAAAATTTATAAATCAACAAAATCACCCCCACCCACCCACATATTCCCGACAGCCAGCCACCACTGCTAGAAGGTGGCCAGAATCTATCGGAAAGGCGCACGATCAGTTGAATGTGTGCCGATTTGGTTGTCAACAACGACCAAACGACGACGAAGATATGGATGTCTTCAACGATCAGATCTTTGGCTGTAAATCTGTTCGTTTCCGGCTAGATACATGGTCCATTTGGTCGAAAAATGCCAAATCAGTGCACTACCGGCTGGATCCAACCGGGCATACGCCATTCCGGCGACTTTCGGTCATCGTCTGACGGTGGTGACCGACTGTCGGCATTTAATGGGTGGGTGAGGATGTTTTTGTAAATTTTAAAACTTTTATTATAGAGGGTGTTTAACTAAATTAACAAATGTAAGAGATTAAAGACTAATCTAATTCAAAAAATATTTCCCAAAAATTTACCAAACACATCTTCATATTCAAATCATATTCTCATAACAACAACCCAACTCAAATTTTTTTAAAATATTATTCTAAATACTCTACCAAACACACATGACATTTCTATTAATATTCATTAAGGTTAAAATTGTAAAAAGGAAAATTAAAAGTGAAGCATATGATCAATTTGCAATTCCTTTTCAGTAAACCAAGCCTGCACAGTCCAATCCATATGCTCTCTGGTTTCTTTTATCAGCCGAATGGGCTTGGGCCATAAACCCATTAACAAGACACAAAACAATGAAATTTGACATTGTCAATAAGTGAAGGAAAAGATCTGAAAATAATTGTAAAGTTGACATGTTCAAGTCTTGGTGGCAATTTTGTTAGACATCTTGACCGTCAAAAGCCAAAACCAAACCTACTACTTGGTGAAGCTTTCACTGTGATGTTGATAACACTAATTACTGAATGTTGATGGTATGGTGTATGAATCTCAATATTATTTAATGAAGGTGTCTTTCACGATAAGCATTTCTTAATCCCGCGCACAAGAGGATGAGCAGTCGCTTTATTATTTAAACCTTTTTTTCTCGGTCTTGGATAATTAATATGATTTCACATATTTTTTTGTTGGTTTTTATTGTATTTGTATAATTGTATCCTCTTGTCTTTTACGTTGCTTTTAAAATCATATTCTTATCCAATAATAATCTTGTTTAACCAATTGGATTTCTGGATTTGACATCAAATGGCATTAGTCGTCTGTTTAGATTAGATGTCTTGACTCGATTGTTATGATTAAGTATGATCCACCCCTTTCATACGTTATGTATCTTCAGATTTAATCAATGCTCAAATCAGATTTGGTTAAATATAATCACAATAATTTTGCTTCAAATTTAAGTTTATTATAGGTGACTAAATTCATTCCAAATAGATCTATGTTTATTCCTTTTTATTTTTTATTCAAAAAAAAAAAAAAAACTTGCTTGGTGATGAAGAAGATTTGCTCTTATTGACTTATCGAGTTCAAACAAACTTGAGATCACTTACCATATTTATAGCTTATCTGGAACATTGAATTTATAGGATGCTCAATAGATCTCGAAGATTAGTTACGGTCACCGTAAATTGGTCCAAACACTTAGATTATAAAAATAAATAAATAAATAAAAGATACCCCAGCAAGATTATTGGTTTGTGGTTTGGTATATATTAAGAGCAATACTATCTTACAAAGACAAAAACAAAGAGGGCGTACAAAGATAATTTCTACCCTTCATCTTCATGATTTTTTTTCTCTCTCTCTCTCTCTCCCTCTTTTTCCATTTTTTCTTTATTTTTCTTTTTTATTGATGTCATTTTATAGTTCTTTTTGTATTGTCTTTCTAAGGATATCATTTTTCGTATATTAAATATTGTTTAAGTTAATAAAGAAGTACATGTGGCTTCAACGTAATAAAATATTACGAGGAATAAACTCAACTTCCCACATGGTTTACACTGCCTAAATTTATTATTCATTTCAATATACTACATCTTTTCTCCTCCTCGTTTTATTATTTTATAAACAAATTAATTTAATTAAAATCTTTGTTCTGTTTGTTTTAAATATTTATCAGCTTTGTACAAAATTTACTTAAAACTTTTTTATGTTAAAAAATGACCATTGGATTGTTATAAATCCGAATATGTATCTAAATTAAGAAAGTATTATTCTAAAAATATCATAAACCTTAAAAATAATTCATTACAACATCGATTTATGAAATAATAATACTAAAAAAAAAAAACAAAGGAGACCTTGTCTTACAGAAGTCAACTTTAATTAGAATTTAGAAGCCTATAACCTCCCCAGATTATCAAACATAACATATCAATTTTCAATAACTTTCTCGGAATGCTGAATTTCTTGAGCTACATGGATACCCATCTTTATACATAAAAAAATTAAATATTTGAATACATTAATAATCAACATTTTAAATATTTCTACTATTTATTTATTCACTAAATATTTGTGTGAGTGAACTTCTTTTTCCCACCCAAGGTTTGCCTCAATGACACTTTCCCACAAATTTTTTTCAAAATACCACCCAAATTCAATATTTCATTACTACCCAAAGCTGATTCTGACAGTAAAAATTTTCTCTATCACCACTATTTGAACCTCAGGTCTCCTCTTTACAGAACCTCTCTCTTTCCGACACTTGAATTCTCGTCGATTACCAACCACCATAAAGCTAGGGTTCTCGGTTTTTAACTGATTTTCGACTTATTCTATAGGTGAATATTCAATCAGTCACCATCATTCAATATATTAGTCTATATTTTACAAAAATCCTCTTACTCTATCCCCAATAACTTGTCAAACACCAACTGAGAAAGTGAAGTATATCTTGAGATTAATAGAATATAAATGTTATGTGAGAAAGTGATAGTTTAAAATTTTTTAAGTGAGAAAGAATTGTTAAGGCAAACCTTGGGTGGAAAAAAGCCTTTTACTCATATTTGTGCATTCTGAATTAAAATGTCGGCTATGACGAGGTGCATCTGAAAAATATGTTAATATTTATATGAAATATTCTGAGAATAATAAGATATTTATTTGGGCGAATATTGAAGTGCGTGGTCCTGACGTTATAGAACTATGTTGAACTAGTTATCACCTGTAAAGTGCGACATTAAAATAATAATATTTGTTCATCCGAGTTCCCAATGGCCGGGTTGCGAGACACGTATTATTTGACAGAACCCAGGTCAAACGTTAGGCGAAGTTTGACGACGGTGTCTTCGCCTGTCTCTCGCGGATTGCACCACAAACAACCGCTCTTTTTTTATCTCTCACTGTCACACCTAAACTTTAACAACTTCCTAATCTAATCCAACCTTCCTCCCCACCAAATCCACACCAATCATAATTTCACAATATTACTTTCCACATGTTCTGACCTTTTCGGTCAAATCCCAAATTAAAAATCTGATTTTTTCTTCTTATGGTCAAATTTTATTTTATGGACATTTTATAATACATTGCACCAAAATGACGAGCACTGAATAAGTAAACCATATAGGGTAGTTGTTTTATGCATATTGGTGACACGTGTATATGATTGCAGAAACGGTAGTGGGTGAGTTTCGTGACTTTAAATTAAATTAAGATTTTGTGTAAGATATGCGAGTATGCAATGCAACTACCGACGTGTCTTTCAAGTTCAACCACCACTTATAAGTCTCTTGCACGCCACATGATTATATATATCTTCACTTAATCTCTGATTGGATAAAAGTAAGACAAATACTTAGGAGATTTATAAAAAAATAAAATAAAATAATTGAATGGGGGGGTCACTGTGCCCCCACTCGTCTCTTATGGGAACCATCCATGTTAAAACAAGATTTTTTAAAAGATAATTTTTTCGACTTTTAATATTTTAATGAAGAGAGATTCCTCAAATGTGATTTGTTTAAGTAAAGTATTTTTTTGTGAGATTTATTATTTATATTTAATAAAAGACAGTACCAACAAATGAACAACAAGAATATCACATTAACTTTATGCCATATTTATTGTCTAGTAACGTATCCAAATCCAAATCAAAAGCTTATGTAACAGTTTAATTAGCTGACGTATCATCCAAATTTTGTGAATGAAATTGAAGTTTTAAAACGACATTATTTCCTTCGATTAGCAAAACCCTATATTTATCAGAAACACATGCACGGCTCCGTGTGGAAACATTAAACTATTCACATGATATGTGTGAATTCAATATTTTTGGAATTTGCAGCACGCGTGCTTATTTTAGTAAGCTTTTGCCCTGTAACTAAATTTGTACTTCCCTATTATAACTGTATTATTATTTTATTAAGTAAACGACATTTTCCCACCCAAAGTTTGGCTAATCTATAAGTTCTCATCCCTGTTTTCATTAATTATAGATTTATACCCTTAAATTAAATCTAACAGTTAAAAGAGTAAAATAGTTATTTCAAATATGAAAATTTCAAATAACCTTTCGCTTCTCAAATTCACCCCATCGGAAAATTTCAAAATAACCATTGACTTCTCAAATTCACCCACCGACGATTTCAGGCCATTCTGGCCTGTTTCCGACACAGTCGACCTCTCCCAACATCACCATTACAATCCCCTCAATCCCCACACAAAAACCCCTAACCTTCTCGCTTGATTGAACCTCCCAATCGTCAGTCGCCGCTGTTTATTTCAGTCGATGTTTCATCCAAATTTTGGCAGGTCTCGGCATTAGAAACCAACCCCAACACCACCAATAGCATCACCGGCTACCCCCCATCAAAACCCCCAACATCGCCAACTGCAATTGCTCGTCTCCTTTAGGTTTTCGTGTTTTTTCATACCTTTTTCAGCCAAATTCTGACACCTCGCCCAGGTTCAATCGGGTGAAAAGTTAGGGGTTTTGGTTAGGAGGATAAGGGGATGCTGATGGTGGTGTCGAGGAGGTCTAATGGTGTCGGAATCTAGCCGGATTTTTGGCTTGGCCGAGATCCTCTAAGGGTTATTTGAGAGAAATTTGAGATGTATGGATTATTTTGAGAGAAAAGTAACGGTGTTAATTTAAGAGTGAAAATCTGCAATCTATGAAACCAGGGGTGGGAACTTGCAGATTAGCCAAACCTTGGGTGGGAAATTGTCGTTTACTCTTATTTTATTTTATTTTCTCCTTACCATATATTACTTTTTTTTTTTTTTAAATGATCGGGGTATCCGGTCCAGTTTATGCGTACTTTAATTAATCCCCGGGACCTTGAAACTACCAGTCGGATAAAAGCTTTACTGGTCACTCTTATTAGCAACCATAGAGACTCGAACGTGATAGTTCATGTTAAATCCTAATCTTGCTCTTTTACACTCAAGGGGACTTGAACTTGGGAGATTATGTTATATTCTCCATTGGCTCTTTTACCATTAAGGAGACTCGAACTGAAGAGACCATCATGTTAAATCCTCGTTTACTTTTTTACCATCAGGACATCCAGTGATGATTTACTATATGTATTACTTTTCTCCATGCTATGTTCCTTTTTTGCTTTGTCACATGCTTCATTTTCAAAGTACCCACTCTCTTTTCACCCTATCCAATTTTAAAATCTTTATCTTATAATTTCTATATCAAAATTTATTGTAACTTGGTGTATACATAAATTCAAATTTTACATACTAATTTACCGTTATAACATTAACATTGAATTTGTGATTAGAAACATGTAAGATTTTATACATGAGATTCATTATATTTTAAAGATTACAGAAAAATTATGAAAATTGATGAAAATCATAGACAAATAAATGCTTAGTTTTTTAGTGATGAAACATACAAAAAAGAAAATAAACACTTTATTTTACTTTTTATCATAAAGTCAAAAACTTTGAGAAATGTATTTCTCATCTAAAATACTCAAAATTGACTTAATATTATTGTTTTAATTGTGCCCCTTCAAAACATTTTAATTGTTTATTTTTAGTTATATTTCTGATTCAATTAAGCACTGTTTTATTGATTTTGTGTTGGAATTATGAACATATAAAGTAATTTTTTTCTTTCTAAAAAGAGCAGTATACTTGAAAAAGAAGATGAAGAAGAAGAAGAAGATGGGTATGTGGATATGTATATAATCTCACCTTTTTTTACATGATTGATAATATGATATAATAACTACTTTTTTTTTCTTCATAATATTAAAAAAAAAAATTATAGTCTCAATAATATTAGTCCCATAATATTTGTGGGAACCAATAATTGTTGTTGCAGAAAGGGTCTTAGTCATTAAAACGGACCATACATGTTGGTTGATTATTTTGGACTTGAAAAGAAATAGTGTAAACTAATCATTATCATATAAAGTACAAACAACCAACAAACACCTCATAATCGTATTAGTTAGCCTATATTCAATCTTTTGTTTCCTATTTTCCTGCATATAATCATTTATAGTAGTTGGTTTATTTATTTATTTATTTTTTGCTTTTTCCTTTTAATCGCATAAAAATGAATGCAAAAAAGTAAACTACATGTTCCCATTTATTGATATAAATCATTTAATTTCACTTTGCAAAAATATTAATATATAATTTAGACAACAATATAATAAATATATACATATAATAGAAATTAAAAAAGGTGACATAAGCGACAAAAAATACGAAAAAATCAAAGGAAACGTATAATAATAAATTAATAATCATTGCGATGCATGGTAATTCACGAGATATAGACAATCGAAAATAGATATTCTTGACCGTGTCCGAACGGAACATGGACTAAGTTCTCGCCCGAATTCTTATTTGGGCGCTCCATTTGTTTTAATTGGACAACAAATTAAACTTAAAGATTAAATAAATAAAAAATGAAATTAAAATTTGTAGACAAATAGGAATCTAGGACGGGCTGACGGTAACAACAGAGATCTTATCTTAAAAATAATAATAATAACAATAATAAAATAAAAAATAAAAAAGGCTACAGTAACAGACAGCTATAACAAAAACAAATCCCACTAACGTAGCTGCCCTAAACAATTTCTTTTAAAATTAAGATTGAGTTAGACAGACGGTGACAGTTGTTGCTCTTGTTCATGTTTTTATCTTTTTATTTTTATTAAATTACTTTTTTTCAAAAACCAAACATAAACCAAACCCAACCAGCCAAACTAAGTTCAGTTCCATCTCTTCTTGTCTCAGATTTGTTACACTCTCTACTCTTCCTTCCTCCTCGCCGAGTCGCCGTCGGCGATTAACTTCAATAAAATAATAAAAAATATAGAGAGAGAGAGAGAGAGAGAAAAAAAAAAAAAAAACACTAACAGAACTTTTCAGTCTCCCTTAAAACGTGGCGCGTTCAACATCCTACTCGTTGTTCAATTCTTTCTATCTTTTTTTTCCTCCTTTTTTTTTTTTCTCTATAAATAGAAATAAATCTTCTCTCCCCTTCGATACTTCGATAAGATTCTGGTAATGATACTCGGCAGCTCAGCAATCTGTTTCAGGTGATCGAATCCGACGGTCTTTATTATTCTCCAGCTGCATCTTGATCGTTTTTGCCGTTCTTTGAAGGTAATAAAGTTTGTGCACGTTGTTTGAATTTGATTAGTTATGGTTTGCATGTGTCGTAGCGGCTACATCATTCAAATTTTTTGTTCGAAGTATTGAGACTTGAGACAGTTTGATTTTAATGTCGAAGTTTGGGATGAAGTTTGTTTTGGACTTGAGATTTTGTCGCTAGATCTAATGAAACGGTCTGGAGATTTTTTTTTCTTCTGTTTTTTTGTTTTAGATTTTTCTCTTGCAAAAGACTACTTATTTTTCGGAGATTGTAAGCTCTTTGTTATGTATTTTTTTTTACTTTGAAAAGCACTTCTGATTTTTGTTTAATTTGAGTTGAATGAAGTGAAATATTGACCGAATATTAAATTATCTGGGTTTTCTTTTGAAGTTTTTCAAGCTATTGTTGCATGATTTTGCAATGTTTAATTTAAAAGTCGTAAATAAGCTGTGAGATCTAGATTACTCTTTTAGAGCGTGTAAACACAAAAAACACATGCTTTATTACACTTGAAAAAACCTTTTTTTTCTTCTTTGGTTGGATTAAAAATCCAATTCTTGTGCGGGCATGAGACATTTGATATTTAACGATTAAAAAATTGCCCAAGTTGCTGAGGAGACTGAGGCTTAAGGAAGAGGAAGATAGTGATTACTCTGAATGGCCGTGATGGAACTGAATTTTTACTTGTTAAAATTAAGCCTAAAAATTGTTAAATATTGTAGGAGCTCCTCTGATTGGTTGGATTTTTTTTTTCCCTGGGTATTTTGATTTTTATTCAATAGAAATTTATGTTTTGAAGAAGAAAGTAGAATTGGTTGTTCCCGAAAATTGTACAGAGTTGCTTCTTATAATATTTGTATGGTTTGCTGCAGCTTGTTATGTGGGTAAAATAGAAACCTCGGTTGTCTATGAAGTCCGATAAACCATGGAAATTGCTCAAAAGGAATTCTTTCTATGATGGGGTATGGCCTAAGGCCTTTAACTGCTTATAATTCTTATTTTTTATTAAGTTTTAAAGAAGCTTGGTGGAATATAGAGGTCTGAATGATCTTGTGATCTCGATGTGTGTGTGTTTTTGGTATTTCTTTCTAAATGTAGAACCGTTTGTGCAGGTAAAATTTGGAGTCAAGATGAAGCAAGTGCAGTTTATGGGAATTATTTGTACAGTAATGTTATTCATTGTATATAGGACTACATATTATCAGTATAAACAAACAGAGGTATAGCCATCTCAGCAATTACTTGATATCATATATTCTAATGTATGAGGATCCAAACAACAGATTTGAAACCCTGCTGGTGCTTTCTACTGGTAAATTTGGGGATATTTGATACTAATTCATTCAGGAAAATACATAATAACTTTGCTGACGGCTCTCATATGAATTAAATGGAATATTTGTATAATGTTTTATAGAGTAAAACTTAATCGAACCCTTTATAAAAATTCATTCAATTAAAGTGGCTTAGTTATGATCCAATGTATAGGTCTTGAAACTGGTTTAAGTTTATAATAATAATAAATCACTGGCTTTTTGTCATGGATCACCCTTAGGACTTGTAACAGCCTTGTTCTGATATTTGAAATTGACTCAGCTTTTTGTATGTTATGATTTTCTCCTGCTGCTGAATTCTAATATATTTTCTTTCCTCCCATTATCAGATGGAATCAAAATTGAATCCTTTTGACACAGTAAAGGTAAATAGTATGGAATTACATTCAATTATTAATATACAAGTTTTAGAAACTGATTTGGTTGTGCCTTATTCCATGTGTGTGATTGAACTGTATAATCTTAAATGTATGCCCTCTCTTTTCGATGATATCCTGAAGTACTTTGTATGCTCTGATCTAGGAGTTTAGATTCTCTTCCAAGAAGTTAAAAGGTTTACCCCATGGTATTATACAACCTGGATCAGATTTAGAGTTAAAGCCTCTATGGTCAACAAGTAGTGCACGGTCAAAGGTTAGTAACTTTTGGTGTTCTGTCTTATTTTTGCATTTATGTATTGTTTTTACATATATGAATACATCATTTGTAGAATTCTAATAGTGTTATTTCATCTATCTAAATGTATTAGTTTTGCTAAATTATCACATAGTTTACTATCATCTGTGACATGTGGTGGCTTTCATGCCACAGCTTCGTGTTTCTAGCAATCGTAACTTACTGGCGATTCCAGTTGGTATCAAGCTGAAGGACAATGTTGATTCTATTGTGCAAAAGGTATTAAATTTTGTGATTTGGAATAGACAACATATGGTGGAGTCTAACATTCTTTGCCGAATTACATTGAATTCAGTTTCTTCCAGAGAATTTTACAATTATTCTATTCCATTATGATGGCAACGTGGATGGATGGTGGGATCTTGACTGGAGTAACAAGGCTATACACATAGTTGCTCAAAACCAAACAAAATGGTAAGATTGTATAATGCTTAAAGAATTTCTAATGTCAAATATAGTGAATCATTAGCTGAAATTGTGTGATTGTTTCACAAATGGGTTTTGTGAGTCTTGGAGTGAATTGTAAACTCTCCTAGTGATGTGGGATGTAACGATTCTGGTCTTACTTTTTCTCATTTGAAAGATGAACCATTAGGTTATGTTACCAACACAAAGGTGTAACAAAAGGTTTTTATTGGTTATTTCTTATATGTTCATTCATGTTTCCTGTTTAAAAAAAAAAATAAGATCTTTAGATGAATGATTAGGGTCTTTTTTTAGTTTATTCAGTCTGGATATGTGAAAGGGTATGTCGTGTGCCATTTTCCACATTTCTAATTTTGAATGGAGTCCATAAGTCTGTCTAATATGCTACTACTTTCATAGCAGCGCTAATTCTTTGTTTTGTTTTTGTCCCTTGCTTTTTTTGTATGTTTTGGGGGTGGGGTGTTGCTCTTTTCAGGTGGTTTGCGAAACGCTTTCTGCATCCAGATGTTGTGTCCATTTATGACTACATATTTCTGTGGGATGAAGATTTGGGTGTGGAGAATTTTGATCCACGAAGGTACAAATAATTGTTTTATCATTTTCTATTGTTGTCTGCTTCTAAAACTTATATATTTTAGTGGGTACATTATAGTAGTCTCACAGAAGAATTATTGGGTTAAAGGCAAGATTGTGAGATCTTGGTGGTGTATACCCCCTGATGCCCTGAAAGATTTGACTTTAAATTTTTATTAGTTTAGGTCCTTTGATTCTATTTGAAAAAAAAAAAAAAAAAACCAAGTTTTGTCATTTAAGATGATTTTAGTATCCCTTGCTTAATAGCAATCGACAGGATTGTGTTGTCGAAAGTTGAAACACTTTCAAAATCTCAATCTCTTTTGGTCTAACTTGTTAGCCTTTTTCTATCCATGATTCAAAGATATCCCAATATGCACTATCTCATCTAAATTAAAATTCTGGCTACAGCATCTGAATGGATAATTCAATACATGATTTCAAGCACTCTGTTATTTTCAAAGAATGGGATTCCTTACTCTAATTAATGACTCAGTGCACTTACTCATATTAGGATAAGAATTTTTAGCTTATGAACCATCTTTCCATCCCTATAGGGAAAGTGAAAACAGATCTTCTGTTTCATCACATCTTTATTTGGACTCTAGTTATATCCAGTAAGGCTTTCATTTTGGTTTTCTGTATGGCTTGTATTCCCTAAATAGGAGCAGTTTTGATTGATTAATGGCACCCTTATTTTTCTCTTCCAGATACCTAAAAATTGTGAAATCGGAAGGATTCGAGATATCCCAGCCAGCTTTGGATCCAAATTCAACAGATATACATCATAAATTTACTATTCGTTCAAGAACAAAGAAGTTTCATAGGTGATAAGATGGTGCTTATAACTGTTGATAAGAATTTACATTTTAGAACATTTAATGCTTACATAAAAAGTATTTCTCGAATGCAGAAGAGTCTATGACTTCAGAGGCAGTGTGAAGTGCACCAATGTCAGTGAGGGGCCACCTTGCACTGGGTAAGTTATTGCTCTAGGGATTCCATAGATTTCTTTTTTCCCACTCTCTCTCTCTCTCTCTCTCTTTGTGGGGGGAGGGAGTGGGTGGGGTTTGTGGACCTTGCAGTGTTGGGCATTGCCTCCCTAGCTGTTTGATATTATTTTCTCCTTCTATAAATGATACAGTACACAAACACACACTCACAATCCGTCTTTCTAGTTGGTTTCCATGTATATATGTTGATGGTAATATGTTGTAAGATATCTTGCATCAAAATGTTGATGCTAACAAGAATTTTATTTTGTCTATTTTTTGTTATATTTTGCAGATTTGTGGAAGGTATGGCTCCAGTTTTTTCTAGATCTGCTTGGTATTGTGCTTGGCATCTTATACAGGTAATTATATATTTGAGCTCCACACCATGTAAGATGTCATAACTTGAGCAAAAATCTTTGAGTATTTCTCAAAGTAAATGATGTTTTTGCTTATGAACATACTGTTAATTGTTTAATTTTGGAACCTTAATTTTGGAGCAAAGTCTTAGACCAGTAGGATTTTAGAGTAACAGCTTAATTTTGCATGATTTAAGAGCAAGGACAACGTGCACGAACGTATGTGATATTTCTTTGATTCATATATGATTTCTCTGATGTTTTGCCAAAGATTTGGTGATATGTGCTCTTTGTTACTTAGGGGGTGTATTCACTTTAATAATTTATGTAAACCTGTGTGATTTTATTTTCATGCTTGGTATTTATCAAGTTTAGTACATGTGTGATGTGCGGTATTTTGGTTGTTTCACCTCCCTATCCATATGAAAGGACATAAATTGAAACTTTTCTATAGTTTCTATTCCCTTTTGTCAGTGGCCATGGGTGTCTCTGTGGTGGAGAGCCATGTTAACCCATGCTATTGTGTTGCACATGTTTATTGACACCGCCTAATTCTTGAATAACAATCCATGGAATGGGATGGTTGTTACCTTTTTTTGGAGACTGAAAGACATGGTTATGTGAAATAATAAATTACATTTATCCACTAAATTAAGTATGACAATTTTCGCTTATAGAAAGGAAACTTGATGTTAATGATGAGACCATGGATTAAATTCTGGTTGTTTCCAAATGAACGAGAAAGGGTTGCTTGATCTTAAAGGGGAAATCTGATGGATGGATGTGGTGTTTGGATTTTAGTCTATAAGTATTGTTCTATTCCTGGCTGCTTTTGTCTTTTGTCATACCCGTTAGATGAAGCTACCCTTGGTTGCTTTCTCAATACCATCATTTAAATGATTTTTAAATTCTTTTGTATTTCCATTTTAATCTCTGCCTTTTGAGTGTCACTGTTCTTTCAAGTACCATGCTTTTTTTGTTTTTAATAAAATTTTCACAGGCTGCTGCTTCTTTTGTTCAGAATGATCTTGTCCACGGATGGGGAATGGATATGAAACTTGGATATTGCGCACAGGTGAGATTTTCTTAGATATCTTTGAACAAGGTTTAACCCTATTGACTTTTTCTCTTTCCCCCTTTTAACTTATATTATACGAGACCAATGATTAAATTAATGTGTCTGTTACTAACGACATTTTCTGGTAATGATGATTTCTTTTCTCTTCTTTACCCTTGTCTTCAATGAATAACTTCTTATGTTAGCTTAAATTGTTGTTTCTCTGATAATTTATGGAGTTAGTTTTGGCAATTTATTTTTGAGTGTCTTATTACATGTGCTTAAGCATTTCATGCAAAACTTGGAGAGGCCATATTTTGCGTTCTGTATTGGAAAGTAGTTTTTAGGAGAAAAGAATTAAAAAAAAAAAAAAAAGCAAAAGGCCATATTTTGCATTCTGTATTGGAAACTAGTTTTTGGGAGAAAAGAATTAAAAAAAGGAGCAAAACTTGTTAAAAAGATGTATATTACGAATGTGAGTTGTTTTCTAAAAGAGATAACTACTATGAATAAACTTCATATCGCCAAGGCTATCACATCCCTCTGCGCATAGCTATTGGTATTTGGAAAATGTTAGTACAGAAATACTGTAACCTTCTTCACATGCACTGTTATTGTGGGTGCTGGCATTATCAACAATTCCTGTTGCTACTGCTAATGCACCCGTACTATCATTGCCACTACCACTGATGTCACCTTGTACAACATTCCCCAGTTCAGATTTTATCATCTCTGGACTAAAGTGCACTCAGGAAGTAGAATTTCTGATATGCAATGAAAAAGTAAGAAAGTGAATAAGCTTTTTTTTTGCAATTTTGAAATACTAGGGTCCACCCCAATCCTTGCTTTCAAATTGTTGAAATGAGAAACATTGTTTTTCAGAGCCTTAAAGCCATCTCTAGGATATGGGAGAATCTGTTCTGAGATCATTGTATACATAATGAAGTATTCTTCAAAGTCGTTGGTTGTCAAAATGACATTTTTTCATATGCTCCTATTTAGTTATTTTGTCTCTGGCTCAAGGTATTTTGAGCTGTCCTTTTTTCTATTCTTATTATTGAAAAGCTAAAACAGTTGAAAAAACCTAATTTATTTGATACTTTTGTGCTGATTTTCTTGTGTTATTTTTTAAAACAATACAACCTGAATTGAATCATTCATTGATGATACTGGCATTTTACAGGGTGATCGCACAAAAAATGTTGGAGTCATTGATAGTGAGTATGTTGTTCATCAGGGCATACAAACTCTGGGTGGAGGGCCACCTGTTAAAAAGGTCATTTCTGGTTGCTTCACATTCTTCTTTTGCTTTAATAGTTGTGGTCTTGCACTCCTTCCTCATATTTGTTACTTTCTTTGTGTATTTACTATTTATTGCTTTGTGCTTTGTTTGCTAGAATTCAAATTGCATCAAAAGTAGTAATGTACAAACTTTCAAGTTTAAAGTAACCGTCGACAAGCATAAAAAGTATATTTAATAGTGAAATTGGGGCTGCCACTGGTTGAAATGAAGAAATTTATCAGTTTATGTCATGCCCTCCATTTTTGTTAACTGCCTTGTTTTAAAGAATTGATTTTGACGTCTAAATTTAGTGAGCCGACGAAATTACTAATTTGCAGCAGTAGATACAGGAATGGTAGTGGGAATTTTTGGTTCCTTCAAATTGACCTCATAGTTTTTGTTGTATCGTCTACTTTCAGTAATGAATACTTATACTAACTTACCCAAAAAAAAATATACTTATACTAACTCAAGATATCATTATTATTTCGTTTGTGTCATTGTTCATCATTCTAACACATTTTCTCTCCATCTTACAGGCTACTAAACGTGAAGAGTTAATTAAGGTAAACTTTAAGCTACAATCATTTTTATTCATTGTTGTATTTTAGTGCTATATTTATATTCTGATTTCACCGTTTTTGGTTGATTTTCTATCCCAATATTCAGAAAATCCATGCTGTACCTGTTGATCCGCGAGCTGAGGTAAGAAACTGAGGTTTATATTTATATTCTGGTTCCTGGAAACAGTTTGCCCGCAATCTAGAATCACATCTCATTCAAAGTAAACCCTGAGGCATATTCTAGGATTGCAGGCAGAATAGCTGCCAAAAATAGGCCAGAATGATTCCATACCTTCTTCAAGAATATATATATATTTTTTTTTTCGAGTTAAACCCGGATAATATTCTGCTTGCTTCTGATGTTTTGAGTTAAGATTATACAATATAGAACCGGGACAATTTCATTAATTACCCCTGAGGTTTCTTTATACCCTTTATAATTTGAATGTGCAGATTAGAAGGCAATCGACATGGGAGCTTCAAACATTTAAAAAACGGTGGAATAAAGCCGTTGAAGAAGACAAAGCTTGGGTCGATCCGTTTAGACAAAGCAGCAGACGTAGAAAAGAAAGTCGTCAAGTTCAATGAGTAATAATTCTTAACTTTACAAAAGCAGCTGCTACCATATGTTAGTTGAGCTAGTTTGGGTTCATCTTGGTCATCAATACATGTAATTCAGATTTTGTAATCTCCATGGGATACTTTATAATTATTTCATTTCTTATCAATATCATAATTTACTTCCTGCATTTCACATTTTATCTCTAGTCACTTTCTCCTCCTTGAGTCCCTTTTTTCTTTTTCATCTAATGGAGGAGGGTATACAAATGCCATCACAGTTCCATAGATGTTCAAGCTTCATTTCAAGGTTTTATCCTATTCCATTATGCATCAGATGTTAATTGTTTAATATCAATTGAATATGTGATTTATAATATCTGATTATAAATTAATAGTCAAGAATTTGGAATGTACAATAAAGTTCAATTTTGGTGCCTTAGTATTTACGGCTGTGTTGTGAAAGTTCACCCTTTGATGTACACTAAATCAACCATTTGGAATTGGACATAAGGAGTTAATTTTCCTGCTACGGATTTATTTTTAAATTAAGAGTTAATGACTTTCTTCCATCTAAATAATGGTTTAATGACACTTTTTTCCATTTACGGACTTTTAAAATATTATTTTATTATCTAAATTTATATTTCGATGGTGAACAGAAAGCAAACTCGATCTAGGCTGTTGAGGCTTTTGAAGATGAGATGTCAACGAGTCTTTTGATGGTAAAATGTTAGATTTTGATGGTTGAGATCAATTGAAATTTAACTTGAAAGAGATGGCTGTGTAAACCCTAATCGCTTAGTTGCCCGTGGTTGACAAAATCAACAGAAATAGAGCTTGGGAGGTTTTGGTAAGTGATGATATGTGAAAAAAATGATGGTAGTATGAGGTAGTAATGATGTCGGAAATAGAATATAAATTTGAGTAATAAAATTGTATTTTAAAAGTCAGTGGATGAGAAATTATCATTAAACCATTATTAGGATGAAACTCTTAAATTAATCCTAATGTTGTTATTTTATAATATTGTGTTCTTGGCTTTTTAGGGTTGGACATTTCTATGTAGTGAATCTCGCTTTCTATCTCTTTATTCTTTAATGATTTCACATTATAATAGATTATTGGACTTCATTGTTTTAATTATTAAATAAAAGCCTAAAAGGTCTCTTTTGCTATGAAATTTATCAACAGCTGTAAGATAATACAGCCCAAACTTGATGAATTGTCGGAGATACCGACACTATATTTAAACTGGGTTTATTCCATTTCATTAAGCAATTCAGATTGACGAGAACAAAGAGATGAATCCACCAGCCAAAAAATAAATAAAATTAAAAACTATCTTCACAATAATAATATCTAAGAAATATACAGAAGTAATTGAAATGTTTAAACAAATATTTGGCTCTTTTTTTTAATTGGATGAAAATATTTTATAACTGTTTCTTAACTGTTTAATTGTCTATTAGATTTGAGTTTATATTTTTTTATGTGAAAGAGAAATCGCGAAAAAGTTTGATTTGTAAACAAGGTTTTGAAGAGGAAATATGTTATTGAATAAATGCATTTACATTTAAATTCACCTAAAAATGGTGGCCGAAATTTAGTTTAGGCGAGAAAATAACATATGGTAACCTTTAACAAAGAATAAGTAGCCTTCGTTTGGTTCATTATTTGATAGTTTTTAGAATAATATTTTAAAAAAAGTTAATTTTGATAGATATTACGATGTAGAATTTTGAAAATTAACAAAAATACCCCTTATGTTTGTTTATTTACTAAACACCCCTATAATAAAATATTCAAAGTTAACAAAAACACCCCCAATCCACTCATTAAATACGAACAACCAAAGGATGGCCAGAGTCACCATATCGGTGCATGACCAGCTGGATCTTACCGGTTGTGCCCCGATATGGTCTTTTCTGGCCAGATCTACGGCTAGATCTGGCCGCATTTGGTCGTCAACGATGGCCAAAGATACGAACGTCGTTGATGGTCAACGACGACCATATCTTGACCGTCGTTGACGACTGTTTATGGCAAAAAATCTGACATTTTTCGGTTAGATCCACCGTAGATCTGGTCGAAAAAGGCTACATTGGTACACTACCGGCCAGATTCAGTAGGTAGTGTGCCATTACACCAGGTTCTAGCCAGCTTCCAGCAGTGGTGGCCGAAATCTGGTAAATATGGGTTGCTGGGTGTTTTTGTCAATTTAAAAAAAAAAATTGGGGTTGTTTAGTTAAATTAATAAATTTAGGGGGTTTAAAAAACTTGAGTAATTTAAAATTATATTTTGAGAATAGGTGAACCAAACACAAAGTTTGTGTTTAATTTTATTGGGAAAATTAGAATAGTTTTCCCAATATATATACTAAACGGAGCCGTAATCTTAGAATGAAATATAATATAATTGTAAATTATTTTCTAATCCAACAATTAACAGATATTTTTTAAATAATAAATTATGAATAAATTTTGTTATTGTTTTTGGTGTTGATATAAAATTGGAAGAATTGGAGGCACGAATGACACAGCTCATTAACAGATAATGTCAATACAATACCATCCCTGTATTTATAATTTCATTTCCGGTACCTCCAAAGCAACTTTGTTATATATTCATATTTTTATGTACAACTACTTCACAATCATTCCCATTCTACCTTTTGTTCATATTTGTACTTACTTTATAAACCACGCATTCAAAATTAATCTTATTTCTCTTCATATTTTATGCACTTGCTTCTACCAAATCCGTTTTCGAATACTTTGTTTTGTCAAAATATATGATGGACTTTTTAATGTTACCATGTGATATATTCAGGGTGTATTTGGTTCAGAGAATATTGTATTACTATGAAAGTTATATTAAGAGGAAGATAAATTACTTTAAAGATTACTGAGAATATTTTATTAAATGTGTTTGATTAAATTGAAATAAATTAGTGGGTATGTTATATTGATATGTTTGGTTGAGAGAAATAAATTGGTGAGTATGTTATATAAATTACTGAAATGCCCTTTATTTTTAATATTATTATTTAGATTATTTTAACCCCTTTTATTTGAGAATTTAGCTAAAACACCCCCATAATACAAGTTAAAAAATTAACAAAAACACCTTAGTTACCCAAGCCACTGCTGGTCGGAACGGCGTACGACGACCATATCCGACCGATCGTGTATTATTCTAGTGTTAGTGGTGGTGGCCAGACTAGTCTTGGGTAATTGTTTTCAAGTCTAAGGGTATTTATGTCCTAAAAATTGTGCTTATAAGGATAAAATAGTCCATGGATATTGTAAATTATTTTCAAAACAAAGACATTATTATCCAAAAAAATTAATAGTTAAAGAGTAAAATTATAACAAGATTAAAGATTATTAAGTAATTTTAAAATATCTAAGAAAATTGTGGTATTCAGATTACCACCTATATAACCATCAATTATTATTATTGATTTTAGAAGATTGTTAGAATCTTATATTACTTAACTACCAAAAGATGATAATGTAAATAATATAAAATGACATTATTGAATAATGGGAGATAATCCCCAATTAAACAACCCTTAAGATATATTAAATACAAAGAACTCTTTCATACAATGTATTTTAGGTTATATAAAAAGATAATATCTTTTATGTCGTTAATTCATACCAACAAGACTTTATTTTCCGAATTTTAAGTCCGAAATTTAGGTAAAATTTCAACTTCAATTGTACGGTAAAATTAACATAAAATTTGTCCTTTAATTTTTGATTAATCATCATCATGATATAAAGTGGAAGACTTTCTTAACTTGATTCTAAATCAAATATTTTACAATATCTCAATTTACCAAAACACCCTTCCCGCTGTTTATATCATTTTTCTTCAAATCTAACTATTTATTCCCATTTCTAAAACGCGCATAAGCTGACTAAACACAATTCCAACCACTTCATCTTGTAAACTAAGGGAAAAAAAAAAAGAAAAAGGAAAAGAAATTTCAAATTGCTCTCCATCCAAACAGTAAGATTTTTCAAATTACTTCTTCAACAAGCTTTTAGCTAATTAATTTTTTAGTTAATTGTTAACATTCTATAAAGCATGTACTGAGTTCTTTTGAGTTTGTTCTGTCTCTGAAGATTTGAAAAAAAAAAAAAAAAGAAGAAGAATAACCGCTTGCGAGTGGCCGGTCGTTACGATAGCAATCCGTTCGATGAAGAAGAAGTGAATCCTTTCTCTGTAAGCTTCTTATTCTTAGTTTCTGTCTATATTTTGACTTTTTGTTTCAATTTGAAGCTAGTGTTTTATTGTTTATTTAGATTTTGTAAGTCTAGGGTTTTTGTTGGTGGAGATTGGTTGATTTTGTGATTGGTAAAGGTAGTGAAGTGGCTCGGTTGATTTGAATTGTTAGATCCGGTTTGTTTGTGTTGGGAGTTGTGTGTTGAGTCAACGTTAGAGTGAATAAATGAGTGTCAAGGTAACGCAATGGGTAAGGGTAGTTGGGCTATGTGTTGTTTAATTGGATCTGTTGATTTGTTTGGGGAATAAGTACTGAGCTTAGGGTTCTTCTTTCTGTAGGGGTTTGTATTAGTTTGAAATGGTTCTGAATCGAAAGTTTTTGATATTGGACATAAGTTTTGCTTTTGTGGTTTTGGAAAGGGGCCTTTCATTTCGGTTGTTGGAGGCTCTGTTTGATTTTTGGTTTTTGTAATTTAATTGTCATAGTCCTAGTCGTTATCTAATTTTCTGTTTATGGGTTTGCTGGGTTTTAAGTCTTGAATCTTCTGGTCTTTATAAGAGCGTATCATGACAGGAAGTTATGAAAAGGTGTTTCTAAATTGGAAACTTTCATATCTTTGGTGATCGCAGATATTGCTTTATAAAGCCATGGCCGTGGAGAGTCTTTCCTGTAGAGCAAGTTAATGATTTCATGTCATGTGGATATTCATTTTTAGAACCACCACTCATATTGGTTGTTCGGATGGATAGGAGAAAATAATATATACATGACAGGAATACATTTGCTTCTTATACTGTTGACATGGTGCCCGTGTTTGTATTCTAGAATTTTCTATGGTGATGATAAAATATGAGACTTAATTAAATGTGCTTAGTTAACTATACAGAAAAACTCTCTATGTGTAGGTATATGACTTATATATGGATAGAGTTCAACGAGGGCAAAAGTTAAATCACTAGGTGTACTTGCACTCTTAACAAACAGATGTCCATGTAATGTTGTTTCTGATGTTGGTAGAATAATAATGTGATATACATGGAAATGCTTGGCTATATTAGTTACTTAAAGATGCTTTACTTTTAAATAAATGATTTTTGTCTTCAAAGAAGTTTGTAGTTTTATTTTGCCGAATAACTTAGGGTAACTCCTCTTTAATTTCATTTTACTACCAGGACCCAGCTGTTAGGGGGAAAGCATCAGGCCAGTCAAAGTTTGGAGGAGGTGCATTTTATACAACTGTAAGCAAATTTTTTCCCATGAATTTCTCATTGAATTTTCCCCCTGGAATGGCTATCTATGTGCCAGTAGAAGTAGGGGATTATCTTTTCCTGAAAGTTATATCAATATAATTAGGAGATATTTTATGTGTTGTGTCTGTGTCTGTGTGCTCCCTTGTTTTCTTGTGGCAAATAAGTGAACTATTGATATTTTATTTGCATAACCTTTTTCATGCCTTTTCTGTCTCTGTTGCCATACTAATGTTATTTGGTTCCTGTCACCCTCAAGTTATCTACTTGCTTTGGTGTTTGCTATTTGAGCTATTTCTCATTTTAATTATGCTAAATTTTCAGTCTGGAAGTGTTCCCCCTGCAGCAAATTCAAGGCTTTCTCCTCTTCCTCCTGAACCGGTCGGTTTCAATTATGATCGGGATGCACCGATTGACATTCCTCTTGATTCAGCTACTGTGAGACCTAATTTTCGGACTGCTGCGGAAATGAATTCATGTTTTCTGTAATGAGCTACTATTAATCTTGATTTCAATACCTCTAATAGTCTATCTTGAATGTAGGACTTGAAGAAGAAAGAAAAGGAACTTCAAGCTAAAGAGGCTGAATTAAAAAGACGGGAGCAGGTATTTGTTTGCTCCATCGGTGGAATTTCAAATATTGAATTTGGGCACATATGACTGAGTCATGGACTTACAAAGTGGAATTGTTATTTTTTTTTTTTTAATTTTGGGTGAAGCATAACTATAAAGTCATGGGCGGCGGTTGTGGTCCCCAAATTTTCTTTTGAATCTATAAAGTTTATCAACTTGTTCCCCTTCTTTATTTACAAAACTTATGAATCCGTAGAGAATCTAGAAACCCATTTTGCTAATAAAATATTGTTATTATTATTTTTTGTGAGACACCATGTTTTCTATGAATATCAGGAAACACATAATGGACATCATTTACATGCTATATGGTGTGCTCATTCTGATAATGGATAAACACATCTTAGGGGTCCCACATTGGAGATTTATTATACAGGAAAAAGTATGCACATGTGATTCTTTCGCTACACAATTAATCAATTTGGTATATAAATTAAGTCAAGTCATTTTTGGTCCTATTCTGTCATATCAACCAAATTTGGCCACTATATGCTAAAAATGTAATATTTGAAGTGCACTGCATTTCCATCTGAGCGGACAGTTTGTTCCTTGGTAATATTGAAGCAAAGCTCTACTCACTGGAAATAATTATTTGGTTTTAGGGATAAAGTAATATGTTCTTATCAGATTCTTAACTAAGTGTAAGTGTGACCAAATGGTGTTGCTACATGAACCACCCTTTTCTGCTTTGTTGTGTCTAGAGTAACAAACGCTGTCAAGTTTAAGGCCATGATGCCCTCTTTCATCATTTCTGTCCGTGCCTTTTTGGCCTAACATGTTAACACAAAATTGTTGTCCAAAGGTTTTGCAATACTGTTAAACTGATTGTGTCACTTTTATATCAGAACTGATTCATCATCTAGTTGAACTGGTGCAACTAGAATTCCACTAATGTCTATTTTTGTTACTCTGCAGGAGGTAAGACGGAAAGAAGAAGCTGCAGCACGAGGTAATTTGATTTGATTGTTTATATTCTGCTAACCTAATGGCATGTAGGATTCCCACTGGTTCTTGAATTGGTTATTTTCCACCTCTTGAGATCTGAAATATCTGTTGGGTTCTGCTGTCCTTTGGGGAAAGTAAATCTGTTCTATTTTGAGTATTTAAACACCAAAAAATTTAACTGGATCTGTGTAGAGGTCAAGTAATATATTATTACCCATACCATTTCGTTTCCTATCAAGAAATTACTGTATTATCACCTTGCGTCTGGGGTAAACTATAATGCTTCCAAGTTGGGTGTTGATTTGCTGTGTCAAATGTCATGGACTTCTTATGCGGATGGTTAATCATCCTCTTAGTTCTGTGTGTAATCATAATTTTGTTTTCTCTCTTCCGTTATGCAGCTGGAATTGTACTTGAGGAGAAAAATTGGCCACCTTTTTTCCCAATTATTCATCATGATATTGCAAATGAAATACCAATACATCTACAAAGGTTGCAGTACGTTGCGTTTGCAACATTTTTAGGTATGTCAATTTTTTGCATGCATTTGTGGATGGAAAAAGTGATTACCAAATAGTTTTAGGGTGTATGTGTGAATCTGCCGCATATTCTGCTCTTGTGTTCTGTAAAACCATTGAATTTTGTTGTATGATATTTTACATAATTGTTTTGTTGTAGTGTGATCATCAAATGTTCTCCTTGCATAGAAAAATGCTTTGATGTTGTGGAAGATGGTCCTTGTTCTGTGATGAATGGTTTTTTATTTATTTATTTTTATGCAGGATTGGTTCTGTGTCTTTTCTGGAATGTCATAGCTGTTACTACAGCATGGATCAAAGGCGAAGGTTAGTTTGAACTATACTTTCCATGACCCACCATGAAGAAAAAAATATACTTTGCATGCTTCCCAAGTATAAAATTCTTTTTTCTAAAGCATCGATTTTGCCTGTTTATTGTTGTAGGGGTAAAAATTTGGTTCCTTGCCATTATTTACTTCATAGCTGGGGTTCCTGGAGCCTATGTGCTGTGGTATCGTCCTCTGTATCGTGCTTTCAGGTACATAATATTCTTTTTTTCTTCAACTTGGTTTTTCATTTATCTTCCATTCTAAAAATAAGTCCCATGTCTCAATTTGTGTTGCTTGCCAAAACAAAGTTTGTTTCTGAAGCTTGGAAATCAAGTTGGATTCTTACAAAGTAATATTGTAAGCTTAGTTGGGATTGTGGGAGTGGTAACCACCATTATATTGTTTCTAGTATTAAGTCATCAGTACATTCTGTTATTGACGTAGGCCTGTCATTTTCAGTATAAAATGGTTAAAATATTGATTCTGTTTGAATGGCTGTGTCTTCTGTGCTGGAATATTGAGATATATTTTAATTGGAATGGCAATAGTAGAATCATGCATATTGTCTCAACCCAAAATTAATGGAAAATGGGCTAAAAATGCACATTCACCAATACCAATAATTTAACCTTGCATAATCGCTGATAAGCTTGCTCTTGATTTTAATTCTCTATATTTGCTGATGTATTCACATTATGTGCCTTCTGCAGAACTGAAAGTGCTTTGAAGTTTGGATGGTTTTTCCTGTTTTATTTGGTAATGTCTTTTGTACTACTAATTATTGTTCTGCTTCTTACACTAGCTAGTGGAAGTTGTCTAATTCTTTTACTTTTTTCCTGCTCACAGCTCCACATTGGCTTTTGCATAGTTGCTGCAGTTGCTCCCCCTATATTTTTCAAAGGAAAATCTCTCACGTAAGTTCCCTTAACATTCTGACTACTCTTTGTAGAAAAGTTGGAGACTAACTCCAATTTGTCTAACCTCTTCAATCTTTTGAAGTAGACATAACGCATAAACTGGGTAGTGTCAGCCAATGAAGGATATTTCTTTCCTCTTTGGTTCTTATAATTTAGTGATGGGAAAATGGGATATACTGTTCCCCTGTAGTGCCTGAGGGTGTGGTCAAAACCTAAAATTAGTTAGTATCTTCATTATGTGAACGAGCTTCTCTATTTTCTGCTGATGAAATTCTGTTCTGTGTGGAACAGGGGTATTTTGCCTGCAATAGATGTTCTAAGCGGCCATGCTCTGGTTGGGGTAAGGGTCTTTAGCGTAAATTTAAATTTTCAGATAGCTAACTGAGATGAATTGGATTTGACAAGTTTGTTCCCTCTACTATTGAGCTGTTTCCCAAATCTATAGAATGTGGCTATGAACGTGATAAAGTACAGAATAGTACTTTCATTGCTGAAGGCTTAATTATACAAATGTTGTTTTGTTGCTCATAATAGATATTCTACTTCGTTGGATTTGGATTATTCGTCGTTGAAACACTGGTCAGCATCTGGGTTATTCAGGTCCGGTTGTGACTCAATTCCTCCTAAGCTTAGTTCTGGCGAAACTCATGCCACTTGCTGTGCACACATTTATTTAGCTTCTTTAACATCTGTGTTTACTTATAATGTGCAGCAAGTATACATGTACTTCCGTGGAAGCGGTAAAGCTGCTGAGATGAAGCGTGAAGCTGCACGAGGAGCAATGAGGGCTGCTCTATGATAATACCCTCAGAAGGGAAACACTGCGATAACCTCATCTGTGGATTTAGGTTGTACATGCCCTTGGCCATGGATAGTTCGACGATTTGGCGATTGCTTGAGCCTGGCTTTTGTTACACCTGTATTCTTAACTATTTTCGAGTGCAACTTTTTGTACATGTGTACTGGAGATAATTAACATGAGGCTTTGTTGAGACTCACTATCATCATTCCCCATATGAGCTGATTTTTATGTAGAGAGCTTTATTTGATGATTCTTTATACTTAAATATTTTTTTTTTTTTTTTTTTAAAGGATGGGAAACATGTACTTGTTGATAATGTATTATGATTGATTAGGTGTTGGTGAATTGCTAGGAAAGCCTTTATTGATTGTCTGATGGTTTAATTGAATAACAAGCAAAGCAGCTGCGTTTTGCCACAATTTCTAGGAGTAGCTTTCAGCTATACCAATCAAAGGCTTTTTCTCCCTCCATTTGTCTTTGATAAATTGAACTGTAATTATACTAATTAATTAGAATGGCCCCAACCCATGAAATCCTTTCTCTAAGCGGGAGATGGAAAGAATAGAACCCCCATTATCTTTTTAAATCTGAAATGCAAGTTCTATGTTTTGAGGAGAAGAATTATAGTAAACAACCAAAAGAAAAGAAAAATTGAGAGATATACATACATACATACAAGAGTGGATTTCTGAGTAGATCTCCTCTATTATCTTTCATCATTTCTCCCTATCAATAATTGACTTTGAGTGAGAGCAAACATTTTTATCCTCCATCTCCTTTATCACAAAAACTCTTTTAAAAACACACACCACTACCACCTTTAACTACATCAAACATGCTCTCTCATTTTTATTCATCTCTATATTATATTATAAAGCTAATAGATAGCTTCAATTATACATAACAAAGCTCCAAAAAAAAAACACAAACTTAGGTTACACATAATAGCTTATAATATATATATATAGATAATATAATAAAAGTGGTGCATAATATGCATTGGTAAAGCTACTAGTAGTATTACACGAAACCAATGCCACCTCTCTTTGCCTAACAATAAGCAATACATTTCTTCTTACAATCCATGGTGCACCCACCGCCGCCGCCTCCGCCGCCGTACCCCTTCCCTGACCGGCTGTACGACGTAAAACACTTTGATGGACACGTCAGCTTCTTCATGTAACATGGACCCTTCTCTTTACACACCGTGCTTGGCCTAATAACACCATTCTTTGAGTGCCCTCCATTCGGACCTCCATACCCACCACCATACCCGCCACCTATTATCCCGTTTCCAAACCCGGGAACGCTAAACCCAGATCCGGGCCCAAATATCCCACCTAGCCCACCATCATCATTTCCACCACCTTTGTTGTTGTTGGTGGGCTTGCCACTGGAGCGCTTGAGTTGAGCTGAAAACGGGTCGGATGATCCGGGTCGGGTTGCCATGCAAAGTGAAGAAGTGATGAGCAGAAGAGCGAAGAGAAAGCTAGTTTTGGAGTTCATTGTTGAATGTAAAATTCTGGATTTTGATAAAGGAGAAAGTGTGAGTCTGTGAATGGAATTTATAAAGAGAGAAATGAAGATGGTGGACAGATAAGAGGGGCCACAATGAATGTTGAGTAGGTTGGATGCAATAAAGGCACTATATTTATTGTGCATAGTGTAATAGTGTTGAGATGAACTGAGTGTTTGGTCTCGGTCATTTTAAGAAAAAAATAAATAAATAAATATAAAGTTTGGGATTAGGGGTTAGAACCATTTGCTGGTCACATGAGAAGCTTCTGTTTTAAGAGAAAAGTATTTTTAAAATATTTTGGTTCCGACTAATACGACTTCTACACAGTTTATAGAAGAAAAGCTTAGAGTTTATACAAGTAGAGCTTTTGTGAAAATTTTGATAGTTTGAGCCAAGTCGCTAGCGAGCGGCTCAAGCTCAGCTTCACTATAGTGTCGAATTGAGTTTGAGCTCGTCAGATTTCGGCTTGACAAGCTCGAACTTGAAAAGTTCGATTGAGAAAGTGAAAAAATGGAGAATTGGAGAGTGTTTTTTTTTTGTGAGCTCGAGCTTGACACTGTAGCAACCGAGCCAAGCTCGATTAGCCCAAAACTCGACTTGTATCAACTCTTTTACACCCCTCGACTTGTTTGGTTAGAAAATTGTAAAAGGGCTTTCAAATATTAATTTACTAGAAAAGAGTTTTAATATACAATAAAATTGAAAATTGAAAAGGGATATTTTTTAAATTTCAACCTAAATAAGCTCTTTTTGAGCGACCTTGAGTTTCTCCGATAAGTTATAAAGTAGTTTATTCAATATCCTATAAGCACTTTTAAAATGTAACTGAAATCTAAAAAAATTTCAAATTGTAACTTTATTGGTTAATTGGTAAACCCAACCAAATGGACTTGAATATAATAGACAATGGTTCAGTCAAGAAAAGATATTAATTAGGTAGAAACATAAGAGGAAATGGAAAGTGTTTATTGTTTATAAAGGGAAATTAATGGGACAAGACAGGAGATGATGAAGGAAAAGCAAAATACAATAACATTAAACATGGCATAAATGTTCCAACCCCCCAACTGCGAACTCATTAATGTGATGTCCGGGTCTAAATTAAAATGCACATGTCCGATACGCCCACGTTTTGAAGTCCAAACTCCAAATAATTACTTTAATGAATTGCATCTACATTACATGTTTCCTCTTAAGATTTTTCAGGAGTAAACGATTTTTCCCACCCAAGGTTTGGCTTAATGATAATGACATTTTTTCACCCATAAATTAAATTTATTAGTAAATTTCTTCTTGAAGAAGGGCGGGTGGTCAAAAGTATGTTATAAGTAGACTATGATAGTCATTTACATTATGCATAAAAAATCAAAAATCAAAATTTGAAATTTGAAATCTGGGTTAGTTTAGAGTTTCTTCTCTAATCAATTTTATAAAGCCTAGAGTTTTCTTGTCTTCTTTCTACTCTTCAGCCAAAACATAAAAGACTCCCAATTAAAAAATTCACCAGAGAGAATACGATTCTACGTTATGTTTGAACCCAGGTTTTTGCGAAATTCAGTAAGAAAAATCAAGCGCAATATGGGGATTTATTCAATTTAGAGGGAAGAAACTGAGAACGAAAATATAAAAGGATGAGCTTCTTCATGAAGGGGTTTTTTTTGCTAGTTTTTAGGGTTTTTTTGTGAGGATTGAGAAAAGCTGAGAGGAGATCCGGTGGTGTCAGGGTCGAGAGGAAGACAAAAGAGAGTTGAGAAGAGAAACTTGTTAAGTAGATGCCCTAGAGCCAATCAATTATTGTAGAATTGACTCTTTGTAATAATGTTCATTAATCAATAAAAGGCATTTTATTTTATATCGCGTAAATCATTATTATTGCAATATGTATTGATATATGTCCTTAAAATGGTAGAATTGTGACGAGGGTATCAAGTGTTTCAAATCTTGATAGTGAGAACCCTATGAGCACATATGGTGACCATTCTAGAAACATCCGTAGCCCTAGTATTATTCTGAAGTAGGGGCACAGATAATACGATAAGGCTATCATAGTGTTGAACGACCCTGTCGAAAGGCAGTGACTGACCTCACTTGTCAAGTTTGTTGGTGACAACCGGTGCAACACATGGGTGCTTGCTGTAGCGTTACACTGCAGCAAGTTTACTGGACTGACCCACCAGAGATTCCATTGGATGGTAACCCTAGTGTCTATGGAACAATCCTCTAACGAATGGTGGTGCATGTGATCCTTAGACTTGAATCACCGGAGTGTCTTGTGCACCGATTGGTGCAGTTTGACACTAGCCTAACGCAGCTCTTTTCAGAGCTGTCAATACGGGTGTGATCGACTGCATCAAGGAATGTATCAAGACTATGGTAGATTGACAGAGGATTCATCACTCCCGGGTACGGGAGAAGTTATCTCATGGCGCAATTCATTATATAACAATGACACTAAAACTATGGCCACAGTGGGATTGAGTTGTTGCTCTATCCGGATAATAATACAGGTCATTAGTCCAGAAACTGAATACATAATATCGAGAGTAACCGAAGGTTGACACTATTTCTATCCTTTCGTCTCGTAGAGATAATGTATGATAAAGGATCGAATTGCACGTAACCATATCGTTGACAGGTAGCTACTTTGCTGAATCCGAATCTATCGGTGGCCATGATGCCTTGCTAGGGGCCAATATGGTCTGTGTATTAGTGAGAAGATTAATTAATGTTAATCATGATACTATACACTGCCGATATGATGAGCGTCTATGGTTCATACACATAGAAGGTAATTTAAGATCCAGAAAAAAGAAGGGCGTTTTCGTCTTTTAAGGCGAAGGGTATTTTGGTAATTTCACAGTGCAATTAAATTTGCTGAGGTCGTAGCCTTTATTTAATTTGTTAGAAAAATTAAATAAGTGAAATTACGTTTTAAATGTGTGTTCGCACATATTTAAATATATTATCATTATTGTTAAATGTTAATATATATTTAAATATATATTAATTGATTTTAATTGAGATAATGATGGAAAAATAAAAAATATCAAAATAGGAGTGTTTGGGAACATGGAGCGTTTAGGTTGGAACCCAAGCCTATTCCATAAGGGATTAGGGCAACTTAATTAACTATAAAAAGAAAAGTGTGTTAATTGTTTTTTAATTAATTGATTTCTCTTGAAATTAAAACACACACAGCAACCCCATCTCCTTCCACGCCAGATTGGGGTTTTAGCCTAAATCAAATTCCTTTGATTTCCTTTCTTCTTAATCTTAAAGCCAAAGAGGATTTAGCAAATCTCTTTTTGGTTCTTTTGAGATTGTCTTCGTCTGGACTACGCAGGTTCGATCCTATACTTGGATCGGTAGCAAAACATTCGTCGATAAATTTGGAGGAGCCTCCAACGTGCGTTTGTTTTCCTTAAACTCAGATTTATTTTTCCTACAGATTTTACTTTAATATGAATTGTAAAATTATACCCTTGATCTTGACTTATGTAAATGATCTCTATATTATATTTGTTTTTGTTTCCACTGCACATATGAGATCCTTTACTAACAAAATTGACTTGGATTTTTTTTTTTTTTTTTTTTTTTTTTTTTTTAAGGTGATGATAATGGTGGTGTACAGCTTGATAGCTTGATTGCAGGAATTATGCTTTACTGCAAAGTGTTCAACTTGATTGCATATTTATAATTTTGCTTGATTTGTGTTAAAAAATTAATATAGAATGTTAGTTGCAGTTCTCTCTTGTGGATCAATCTTTCTGGTTGTGCTTATTATCAATGCATCTAAAGTATCTGGCAGCTTCTAGCCATCTCAATTCTCCAACGTCTAGCAGGTAAATGGGAACAACAAAACAGCTTTCAGCCTCTTAATGTTAAGAATCTTCTGAATCTTTTCATTTGAAGAATAAGTGATTTGCAGACAAAAATCAGTTAGTCTTATAACTACGTATCTAAATGGAAAGTGTGAATTAGAGTTGTTTAGCCGACATTGAATTTTGCTTCAATTGAAGTTTTTTGTGAATTAGAGTTGTTTTTATTATGTGTATTAAGAAATTTAATAGTTGCGTGTATATCAGTAATTTCATAATTAAAAAGTGGGTATAAAGATAATTTACTCTACATGTAATAATAAAAAAATATTAAATCAAATAGGGATAGTATTTTTGTCTTTATAACAAATATATACTGTATTTAACAAAATTTATTAATGGAACATCATGTTTAGGCGTTCACTTCAAACCCAATTATCATATATGAAAATTCATCAATATGGACGTCCTAAACTATTTTACGTATGGATTAAGAGTAAATGTTTAGACACTCACTACACATTATACAGTTTGTAAAGTGAGTGTCTAGACACTCACCATATATATATATATTTGAACAAATAAAATACAAGAAACAAATAGGAAAAAAGGGTTTTATAGGAGTAAGATTTGAATTTATAAGCTAAACAAGAACTTGTATTCCATAACTATCTCTTGTTTCTCAAGCCTGCTCAGATTTCTTTTAGTTTGAAATCCAAATTTACCTAAACAAGAACATCAACTACATACATTTACTCATATCTATCCCTCTTAGTATATAAGGCTTTGTTTCTTAGTCGAGAGACATGAGAGCTTATATGTGGAGACACTAGGGTTTTTTTTTTAATGATTGGGAATATTTGAATCAGTTTATACGTACTTCAACTAATTTTCTGAGATCATAAAACTATCGACCCGGTAAGAGTTCTAGTGGTCACCCTTACTAGTAATCGAGGAGGGACTCGAACTCAGGTTTTCTTGAGTAATACACCCAAGAGTCCGTATCGAATCACTCGAGAGACCAGGGTTTGTTCTTTCCAATATTAAATTTGGCTTGAAATTTGGTGAGGATTTTGTATACTTGGTTATACTGGGAGGAACTTTTCTTCTTTACATAGTTAAACCATCATCATCACCAATATTTGATAAATTGCCTCACTTGATTTTTTTTTATTTTTTTGAAACAATATGATATAAACATATATATACACTGTTTGCATGCAGTACCTCAGGATTGTAGAGTTGATGGCGGAGGATTGCACAGTTGGTCACAAACTGTG